CAGATATTTATAATCGCATCATACATACATTACGGATACCTTATGCAATTCAGAAACTCCTTAAAGCCTGGGGGAAGAGGGTAATAGAAACATATACATAGAACATACAAAATGGTACCCGGAGGCTGGCAATTCAAAAAGCCATAAAATCCATTAAGGATATTTTAAAGAGCATTTAATTTCACTTGGAAGCATTTTGATACCAATTAAGGCCTTTATGGAGAGCCCTAATGCAAATAAACAAAAATGCAGTTTTCCAGTAGAGTTATGAGGCGGAATGACCAGGATTTGCAAGATCCATTGTGATAAATGGCTTGCTATGATGCAAACTATAAAACTTTTTTTTATATAATAAAAAACAAGTCAGAACAATTATAAAATTGATGCTATAGACACAATGATGAATGGAAGAAGGTGAAGTGTTAGAAGACCTAGCACCATACACAAAAATCATTGATTTTTCTTTGATTACTGCTTAGGTGATCAGAGTGTATTAGGTACTTGTTGTCTGCCTGCCCTGTGTTTTATTAATGTTCCAGATCAGACACCCAATTTGGAAATCAATGCTTACTTCATCATTTTTTCTCTGAAAGCTTCTATTATTCACAATTGATTTAACAGAAATGAAAGGCTTGCCATTAACAAGAGCCAGCTGCTGACACTTCGAAGATGAATTATTGAACTTCTGAAAGTGAATTAACTGAACCATCATCAAGACTATTGTTTGATGTTACTCCCACTGAAGCCAGCATAGTTATAATTACAGAAGCGACACAACCCAAACTAGCCTCTGGGTCCCCTTCCCAAACCAAAAGTGAAGAAGAGAACAGGAAAACTAGAGAGAGCTGGAACTGAATGTCTCTTTCCCTTCCTTGGTTTTACAGTTTCCTACCAATTCATCTCAAAATGTGGAGACAAAGTTACTTCAGCATTCAAGCATATACTTCTTTCATTTTAAAAGGGCACACGGTATTTAAGTAAGACCGCCAAATATTTTTAACTGAATGATAAAAATCCAGATGTCAGGAAACATAAACAGAGGTTTTGCGCCTATTCAAGTTTGCTGCCAGAGAAAAGAAAACCTGCAAGACCACTCCCATTATGTTAACTCTCCAGCCTAACCCAAAATCTACATAAAACACATACGTTCTTTTGATTCATAAATTAGGCAAGAGAATTTCATCTTAATTTCAAATAGCTGAAGTTCTACACATTTCCAGTTGACGCATTTCCAAGGCATCAGCCTTGATGGTCTTAAGAAAAAAAACTAGAGAGCTACTAGTCGTAGGTTATTAAAAATAAATAAAAAATGATTCCTTATAATTGATTCTGTGTGATGAGAACAGGAGACATTCAGATTTCTCCTGGCCAAATATTCCACCAATAAACAGATACAGACACTTTGCCAATAAACATATAAATTAATCAGGCTTTCCTTATTTTTGTATTTACTGGACATAGGGATCAACTAAAGCACATATATGCTCATCAAATGCTTGATTCAAAATGTGATTAACTCATAAAAATCAACAATTTTTTTATTCCCACAGCCAACTTCATATATATCAGAAATCCAATTCTCAAAGAGTGGCAAATCCCCAACAAAATTTGCTTGCTTATTCTTCAGGCCAAGCCAGATGTGATGTGAAAAATCCAGAATTAAGATTCCCCACATTTTTTTTCATTTTTGTTCATTAGCAGCCACAAGTAGTTTTAGGATATGGTATTATGCAGAAGAGTATTTAACCCTTTCTCAGATGCAAATCACTCCCCCTGTCCAGCAGTTGTTAGTAGCTTTACAGGGTAATCTGCCCTTGTTTTTTCGGCCTGACCAGATAATAGCAGCTGCAGAAGGCAGGATTTATATCAAGGGGAAAGCATGGGAGTAATGCATTAAATGTTCTCTCCTAGAGCATCAGATCCGCAAACTTCAAAGATGCCCTAGGGGTCTCCTAATGAGCAAAATAAAAACCATGGGAAAGTCTAATCACAATCTCCCACCAGTGATTAAAATATGTTTATTTGGGATACTAGTTGCACAAATACACACTCTCCCTCTGTCAACCTCACATAAACATTGAAGAGCATATTAACTGAATTATGTGTTCCTGCACCTGATGTTAACTTTTCACTGGACAAAATGTCTATTTCTGAATTAGTCAGGTAGCTGATGTGGTGTTAAGGCACCTGCAACGGTGCTAAGGCACATTTCTCCAACCATGCTGCCAGCTCCTTGATTATGTGTTTCTGTGGATTTCAGTTGGTATATAATTTTAGCTTTTTAAAAAAGTGTCCTTATTTCTACACCTGTTGGCTAGAGAAAGGACACAGTCTATATAAAGAATTCCTGCCACTCAGGATTCCTCAGAATTTGGTTCTAAGTGCTGTTAATATAATCCAGCCTGATATACTCACAATGGTACATTTATGTACATTTATAAATATACCCAGCGGAATTATCTTAATTGTAATTGATCGTGTGTGAGATCAGTTACATTTTCTCCAATAAATGTACCTCTAATCTAATCTTGAAATTTCCCCAGGTCACACAATTTATCAGTTTGGGGAGAGCTGGAAATTCCAAAAGGTTGACTGACTGCCATTTCCAAATAAGGTCTGCCAACCATGATTTTAAAAATAAATAAATAAATAAATAAAGGGTTCACAATATTTAAATAGTTTAGAACTGAAGCCAACTTTTTATACTAAGAAATCTACATCTACAAAATCGACAAGGGCAGTTTCTCAGCCATTTTACCCACCTCAAAAATCTACTGTTTTCTTTTGACTAAATAATCATAGGCTTATTGAATAAGCTGAAAAGTTTGTGGCCAAAGGCACTCTTTTGCGTTTTCCAAGTCACACTTTGAGGGAGGGACCTAATAGACATGAGATATACTTCTTCAGCTAGTTGTTACAGTAATTTTTAGGACACAACGACAGATGCAGCAGGAAGGCTAAGTGCTTTGGGGATGCTGGACATGCCACAACGGTAAACTGGAGGCAAGTTCAAAAGTTCAGTTTGTGACTGTCATCACATGTTGCATGATGCCTGACATGCAGAACAGATAAAGGCCTGGGAGTGATAAGAGGTAATTGTGACTAATGACTTCTCACCTGACACACTGTTGACAGCACTTCCACACATTCGAGTTATCAAAGTGATCGTGTGAATAATGTAATGTATGAATTCACACTTAGGAATCCTATCTCTGAGAGGGAAAACTCGGGTTCCCTGTGCTATATTACAAGAGACCAAATACAGATCTTTCCATGTAAGCTTGTCAAGAAGCTGGTGGAAGGAAAACACACAAGATGAGACAAGGTGAGAGAGAAAGGGATACATCTGGCGGTCTGTGTATCTTTGTACACCACAAGAAAAAGAATTAGGGCAGTGCAATGTGGATCTGAGAATGCATCCAATCAAATAAAAATTACCGTATTTTTCGCTCTATAAGACGCACCAGACCATAAGACGCACCTAGTTTTTGGAGAAGGAAAACAAGAAGAAAAAAAATCTGAATCCCAGAAGCCAGAACGGCAAGAGGGACCGCTGTGCAGCGTAAGCAGCGATCCCTTTTGCTGTTCTGGCTTCTGGGATAGCTGCGCAGCCTGCACTCGCTCCAAAAGACGCACACACATTTCCCCTTACTTTTTAGGAGGGAAAAAGTGAGTCTTATAGAGCAAAAAATACGGTATATAGTCCTTCCATCTCCAAAAGACTCACTCTCAAGCATAACTGTGGACAAAACCAGGACTTATCTGAATTTTAAAACAGTAGCAAAGGGGTCATTCTGAACTACTGGCCATGCTTGTTAAGACTGTTGTGGTCAAACTCCAACAACAGCCAAAGAGCCACAGATTCCCCCCCCCCCGCAATAGTGGCCAAGTACATCAGTTTATATTTTCCGCCACTCCTGCATATTCGAACCAAGCTCCAACATGTTAGGAAAGGGCTTCTTAAGGTCAAACTGCACACATATAGGACCTTCCCTCCCACGGCTGATAGTTTTGGGCAATGATATTCATCCCGATCCTACTTAGGTGTCCTCCCCCACCAGCATAATCCAGTTATGATTAAAAATAATAATAAGCATGTTCATTATTTTCACACAATTAGTTGAGTGTGTACCTTGATTCTTAGACAAAATGACTTCAAGGGAAATTTGAGCCCTTGTGCTTCTTCTCACCTTTGACATTAAGCCAGGCACAGCTCAATATTAAGAAATGCTTAACGCGCACCACTGTCATAGCCAATGAATTGTTCCTAGGCAAATCCTCCTTCCCTCGTGCAACAGAAAGCAGAATTTCGTGGCACTGACAATTGTACGTCTCGGTTCAATTGCTGAGAATACCCTTACAATTGCTCACTTGAAGAACATCCCTTTACTGCTGATTAACATAGCTAAAACAGCTCAAGCAGTGTTGCATACAGCAGAGTACTGGGCTGGTTCACATAACCTAACCATGGTTAAGCAAGTCGGAGAAAGCCATGAAATTACATACTTCCAAACCTCCCTTCCATAGCATTAATTCCACCGCCACCCTACTCCTTAACTGTGTTAACCGTTACACCAACATAAAACTTTAGCCATGGTTAAGTCTACATAGACACAAACAGTGCTTTTGTTTAGAAAAATAGGTGCCAGTACTCACCATGAAGTTGTTACAGTAAGTGTCACACTTTTTAACAAAAAAAGAGAGGTGCCATTATTGCATACTCTTGAGTACCCCCTGGAAAAAAGCCCTGGATACAAATTAGCATCCAATTCTGGTACCTTCTTAAGGAGGAACCTTGGTTGGCCTTAATTATGTTTAATGACAGTGCCAAATGCCCTCTTTAGAGAGAGTGGGGAGCATTTAGGCTCCAAAAGAAGAGGAGTCAGCATGCAAGGCCAGCTCCTGATTGCTTAACCATGGCAACATAATCCAGAATGCTACATGTCCGCCAGGTCCATAACTTGATTCTTCTTTTAGAAATATTTTAAAGCTTAGCTTACCTCTCATTGCACCATAGCAACTGAAAAAGAGAGGGAAAGGAGCTGGGAAGATGGCACTTGACATGACTTCCACCTAGAAAAAGAGGAAGGAAGTTAAAGAACAAAACAACAATGTGGTTGACATTCCCAGCCTCCATCATCATATAGAATCATAGTAAAAACAAACTCCTAGTAATCACCTCCTGTCCCATGAAAATGGCTAAAGGAGGCACTGAGTTTGAATGAGTTAATTTGTAACGTGTTCCCTTTATTTGTACAGTAATTATGTCCTGGAAATGTAAGGAGGACAGTACAAATTCAACAACTGGGTATATGGGGGGAGGGGAAAAACTCTAATTAACCAGTGTGTGTTTCATTTTATAATAAAATCTATTTTATGAACGTATCATACATTGAAAGCAGGACAATGAGCTCAGCAAACTATTTTAGGAAAACTGGTAGAAGGCACTATTAAATGTAAAATTAGAAAGGATATAGAAATAGGAGTCTCGCGGAAAAATAATAAAAAATAAAAATAAAATTTTATTTATATCCCGCCCTCCCCACCCGAAGCCGGGCTCAGAGCGGCTAACAACAGTGAAATGGTACAACATTCTAAAATCAGTTCATTATAAAATCAGTTCAAATCAGATTAATGGCAACCATTGGGCTAGAATTCTGTGAGGATTGCCAAGAAGAACCAGAATTGCTGAAGAGTAACCAGGGTGGCTTCAGCGGCAGAAGGACTTGAAGGGGCTGGAGGAACTACCCTATGGGGGAAAAGTTACAACTCTTGACATTTTTAGTTTAGAAAGAAGGTGAAGGCAAAATCCTAACCACAAGTAAGCAGTGGTGGGTGACAGAATGGTATAGCCACTCTTGAATCTGCAGACCTGCCACTAACGGTGGGCAGGGCAGAAGGCGGGGAACAGGAACCAGTCTGGAGGTGGCACGGTGATGAGGCTGGCCTTGGCCCAATGCCATCAAGCATCAACTGGCCAGGTGGCCCAGCATCCAGACCCCAGGCTGCCTCTGCCCTTCTCTATCCCTGAGATGCTTCATTTTGTAGTAATGGCCACAAACCTAAGACTATTTTTAAGGAAATTAAACCAATTTATGGTAAATAAGGCTATCAGTAGTTACTAGTCATGATGGCTGAGTACTATCTGAGTACAGTACAACTTGCAACTCTCAAACTTATGCTAGGTTTACATTCCAGAGATAGCGCCTAAAGCCAGTCACATGTAGTCAAAACCCACCAGGTTCAATGGCAGGTGAAATTGCTAAAGATTTTTTTTTTCCCTGGACATCCGCTCCCTTTCCTATCGTTTAAAATCTTTTTGCTAAGTATGTAAAGCTTTTGAAAGCACATGAGTTAAAGGTGCATAAGTTGCAAAGTACAAAAACACTGCTTGCAACTGGCTTTCTACATTCTGGTCTGCTGGTCTTGCAGAAAGGTGGGTTGTTGTTTTTTTTGCCAGAGACAGCATTTGGAAGAACTGCTCACAGCAGTGCATAGTCACAAATAGTGAAGCATTTTTAAGTGTAGGGTTCCTGAAGGTTGGAAATTGTTCTGAATATCTGCATCCTCTCTCTTTTCACACTTCTACTGCCTGGCCTTTAATTTGATCAGGGCTTGCTAGCATGCAGGTCAAATTTTTATTTTATTTTTTGCTGTACAGAAACATGCAAAACATTAAGTTGAATTTGAACGTTAACACATTGTCCTTTTAAAAAAAATACTCACCAACAGATCACATACAGTCAGACACGTACCCTCAAACAAACTCTAGCAAAAGCAGATTTCAAGCTATTTTGCAAAAGGCAGCAAATGCAAACAACTAGTTAAGAGTTGGCTTCCTATGACAACCTCAGGGCAACACAAGATAATAGGAGTTCCTTCAAAGGACTATGTCCAGAGCAAAGACAATCCTCTGATTCTGGGTCATTGCTAGTCTTGAACAGCACAAGTAGAGTACGAACAACAGAGAGTTTTGGTATGAAAATGTTGGTTCAATAACTGGCACAAGTCCAGTCTGTTTGAACTGATCATAGACAATAGATTTCATTTTTTAGTCAAGTTAGGGAGGAATGCCTCAATATCAGAGGCTCTGACCAGTGGCGGAGCTTCATGCTCTGCTATTGGGAGGCAGAGAGCAGGCAGGGGCGGGGCTGGCACGCATCCCGGGTATATGGCGCGCCACCCACAGGGGCATGGCGCACGTCCTGGGGGGCACCGCACCACCCGCAGGGGCGTGACGTGCGTCCTGGGGGCATGGTGCACAGCCTGAGGCGGCGTGACACCCAACACGGGCCAGGGGGTAGCCGCGATGGCACCCCACCAGGATTGCGCTGCCGGGGGCGATGCGCTCCCCCTGCACTCCTCTTCCTCCGCCAATGGCTCTGACTATTTCTAGTCACTACAGGTGACCCAATGACACATCCTGAATCCAAGTACTGTAACATAAAAAGGGAAAAAAATTCGACAAAGAAAAGATATAATGAAATGTGTGTGCGCGTTTATGAAATGCATATAAGATACAAAAATCCATATACATATGTACAGTGGTACCTCTGGTTACGAACTTATTTCGTTCCGGAGGTCCGTTCTTAAACTGAAACCGTTCTTATCCTGAGGCGCGTTTTAGCTAATTGGGCCTCCTGCTTCGTAACTAGAAGTGTTTGTAACCAGAAGTACCACTGTAGTGGCACACGAAGTATAAATGTTGTATGTAAGATACCTGATGGGGATGATCAAGTGAAAATCACATATTTGCTGTGTGGTTTTGACAATTTTGTGACAAAGTTGAAAGATCCGCAGCTTCTGTCCAAAAACTGAAAATGTTCATTGAGGATAATAGGGTGGACTGTAAAGATTTAACTGGGAATGAAATATAAAAAGCTATTTGTATGTTTGTATTTTAATATAGCTAGATTAGATAGCTAGATAAATATATACAGATACAGATATAGATATATTGATATTGTGTTTTAATTTTGTATTTATGCTTATAGTCTATAGGATGTATATTCCTTTTTGGTGGTTGATATGACCATGATTGTTGGAACATTAAATGTTGGTGTTTTGACCAAGGCAGGTTTTTAAAAATAAGCTGGCTAGTGAGTCTTCAGATCATGAGGCCTTGGACTCTTCTTACCTCTCATGACAGTTCAAGGCCGCACGATTTGAAGGCTCACTAGCCGGATTATACCATGTGTAGCCATTAGATTGAACACTATATTATTCACTTATATGGTGCACTCAAAGGCCCACTGAGTGTTATCATTTATAGCTCTAACTGGTGATGCTACTTTGCGATTTGCTCATGATAACATTTGGTTTATTATCTGTTGAGTTATAACTTGCTTTGCCAAGCAGCTTTCATGAGACCGCTGAGGAAGACCACAGTCAAAACCTGTTTGGGTTTTGTTATAGCTTGTTATTTTGACTGTTCAGTTTATCAGCATTTTTATGTGCTCTGCGATATTTCATGAGCTGCGTTTGTTCAGTTTGTTGATACTGTATTAGGTTTATTTATACTATTCAATTTTGGATTATTACTATAATTATTTGTTCTGGATACAAATAAAGATGCCCACAGTTTCTTTTTAATTGGTACTATGTTTGATTAAAAGGTACAGAATACACATATAGTCTTTTGATCCCAATTTCCTCCCCTAAGCCCTGCATCCAAGGAAAGGTGTTTATTAGCCCATGCTGTGGCTGAGTGTCTTGCACTCTGATTTGCAAAGCTATCCTGGATCACCATCCCTAGAGAGATCACTTAAGGCAAAACAAGCCTGAGATAGGAGATGCACTGCAACACCATGTTTTCAAAGTAATTAGCTCTGAACAAATCATGTCGATGGGACACGTATCACAAGCAAGAAGTCCAGTGAAATTCTCCTGACAGTGGAAAAAAATGCAAGCCAGTATCAGAAGGAATGCATGCTTTCTGTGCAAAAGGTTCCAAGTTCATTCCAGTCAAAAGGATCAGGTACGAGATAGTATGAAATACCTCTGCTTTGGGACCCCTGACTGCCCCTGCCAGTGCTTATTTTCAGAAATGGAAGTACCGTAGTATCAGCAACAGTAACCTGTGTGAAGGCAACCAAAGAATTACTGTGAATTTCTTGTTCCTCTCTTGTTTGTGTGACCTTGATGCTTGGCAGTAAAATTACACAGTCAATCACCAAAGTACTATAAATCACTTTGTCTCTTGCCCTTTCTGTCTTGTGAAAACTTATTTACTGCCTTTTGAAATTTCAGATTTAGAAAATGCTCTTTAATTTAAAAGTATCCTGGGCTGCAAAAGTTGTGGGGAAATACAAGTATAAAAGCCGAACGTATTGAGACACTTGTGTATATATTAGCACTGATCCTGCACCTCTGCAGACGTCCGTTAAGCTGTATAGGCAAGGAACGCAACCACATACATAATGTACTCCTACTAATCCTGGCTCCAAATCCAGCTCTCTTCATGAAGCATTTTTTTTTTTTGCGGATACATGGCCATTAGGTAAAGCAAAAATTATGACAAAATATTTGAGTATAATTTCATTATCTGGCAATCATCATATATACTAAATGTGAACTCAGTTTTCAAGTGCTGGCCTTTGTGTATCCAAAACAGCACCCCATCTACATGCAAGTGGAAAATACTGGCAGGCTTGGGGGAACTCAAATGGTATTTCGTGGAAATGCCAACAAAATATTCAGAGGCAGGTGGACTCACAAGGGAAACCCCTTCCAAAACAGTCCAATGAGGACTCAGCATTAGGGCTGGGCAATATCTGGTTTTCAACGTCATTATATATCACCAGCTAAACATCTCAATGTACCGATTTATCACAATGTCTGAAATAAGGACGGAGCTATGTAGAGGCATTGGCTGGCTTCAAATTTTTCCGATGTCATGATTTTTGGATCACACACACACACCACAAATCGTGATATTGCCAGGTTAAAAATTATGAAACAGTTATAAAGATATGGACTTCAAGCTAGTTTGGGATGATATATTGATATATCACCCAAACCTACACTCAGCGTTCCAGTAGACGCAGACTACTGACTGCTTGGTGGGGGAGAGC